GGACTGTTCCAGTACTTGAGGCATAGCATGTGCTGCAGTCTCAGAGGAGCAATTCTAAAAGCACTCCATGAGCAAAAGAAATTCATAAAGGTAAAGAAATCTCTTAAGTGGAGAATGTTAATGAGTACTTATACTTAGTAATAGCAGGAAAATCTCATTGTAGCTGATAGCTTTAGCTTTCTGTTGTGACCCTTTGAACAGACATTTTCTGTGGAGCAGAAAAATGTCACTGAGAAGTTCTCGGGGATGTTGTTGCTCTCTCTGCTGTCACATAAGGCAGGAGTACACAACTCAGCATTTATTCTTTGGAGACTTACATTAATTTATTTTGACAGTATTTTCAACCCATGTAGTAGCTTAGGACTAGCTGTTTGTGCTACCTTCCTATTTTAGACAAGCAGTGCTTTGCGTGAGACTGTTAATTTGGCAAAGGGCATGGGTTCACATTTGGTTTTCATAGACTGATAGATTTAAAGGCCAGAAGAGACTATTATGATCATCTAGTCTGACCTCTCACTTCAATCAGGGCATGAACCTCACGCAATCATTACTGCAAAAAGATCAATACTTCAGTGTGGGCTAGACAGCAGCTTAAGGAAGACATCCAGTCATGAGTTGCCTTTCTGTATTTTTTTGCATGAATTTTTCTAACTTCAGATTCCATTCCCTGGATCGCATCATTTTGTAGGCATGCAGCATCAAAATGAAACATCATCCTCAAATGTCCTTTTCAGTTACATCTGTGAATCTGTCTACTTGGATTTATCCCCAGATTATAGGAGTATTTATGTTGTACAATTGTCACACCATGCTAAATGGACAGTAAGCATTTTCTTCACTTTGTGCTGGGTATTGTAAAAAACAGCTGCAAAGCATACATGGAATTTCAAGATCTTGAGCTAGCTCTGCATTAATAAGTCAGGAAGCATTCAGCCTGGCTTGTTTTTTTTTTTTTCAAGCAGCTTGCATCCACTGAGTTAATGTGCTGGAAGTCTGTTTGCAGAGTAAATGTATAACTCTTGAGCTTATTCAAAAACATCCCTCAAATTTCCAAGATTGGTTTTAGCAAACAAAATTGGCAAGTGACAAAAGAGATAAGGACATGCAGGTAGAATTTTTTCAAAAATTATGATCTAGCCAGGAAATTTCCAAAAACATAGTTGTAACTTGGTTAACTTTTGAGAATGGCCATAGAAGATTAGTTGGGAGGAAGAAAGATAATTTCAATGAGCTTATTCTGGATCTCATTTTCACATTAGCTCATGATAGTGTAGGAATATACTTTCTTAACAATGCTGTGTGGTAGTTAGGGTAGTGTTATGATCTGTACATGCATGGAATAGGGACAAGAACTAGAGGAAGAAAAATCCAAGTGTATTTACTGTTATAGTTGACTGAATTTTAGCAACTTTCAAGACAGTCCAGTTTTAACTTCTGCTATTTTGTACTTGCCCTAGTGAAACTGAGAAGACTGACATTAATTTCAGAAATCAGCTACCAGGTTATTATTATTTAGTAAAGCATTAGTATAAACTGATGTTCTTCAACAAAAGTTCAACAAAATTCTGATAATTATTTACCTCTAAAGACCCCAAGCTCTTGCCTACCAAACTACAATGAAACAAAGTCCAAAACTTTCCAGTTTGAGAATGACACTGTTTAAGATCTCAGGAGCATTGTAAGTTATATTTGTGTATAATAGTTCTCTTCTAATTTTACAATTAATAAATGTGAAGGACATCAGGAGACTCATCTGCAGCCATAATAATATATTGCCTCATGTTTATATTCACTGAGCAGATAATGGAATCATAGAATCATAGAATCATTCAGGTTGGAAAAGACCTTAAAGATTATCGAGTCCAACCACAAAGTCTGGAATGTTTATGTAACAGACTTAAAATAAAATCTGTAGGTAAATAAATTTCTGTTTCAGTGAAAAATGCTTACTTTTCATGTACTAATGGCCTTTGTACAAGAAACTTCAAGCTTTTATAAATCACGATAGTATTCCCTAACAGTTTTGAGAACAGTTTTTCATTGTAGTATATATTTGCCCCAACATTTAGCATTTATTATGTCCAGCAATACATTTGAAATTAAATGCTGCCAGGAATATACAGTTTTCATCTTAATTCTTTTGTATCAGGTACTCAATAAGTATATAGGCAATAACAGAACACATAATTATGATTTCAAGAGTACTTGCACCTTTGGATCCCTTTAACAAACTGTTCTAAAGACAAAGGTTATCTGATGCTGTAATTGTATATGGTTTTTAGACTTTGCATATGAGTCTCAGCTCTGTAGAGGGCCATCTAACAGCATGGCAAACATGACTTTGCAATTAAATGATCATTCACATTACAGCTTATGGAAATATGTAAGATACAATTCAAACTGTTCTGTAAAGAATTGCTGTTCTTGTTACACTTTGTTTTTAATGAGCTATAAAATAAATGCAGTGTAGAAAGCATTTTTTACAGCCAGAGCTTGTGATACGTGATAGACAAGGTTGTGCTGGGAAGAAAATGCCAAAGTTAAAAACACTAATCATGGCTCTGATGACTTACATACATAAAGGCATCTAAATCCTGTACTCTCTTTAATGGGACAGTGCTCCTCCAGTGTTTACAGCATCAGCCCTGGTAAATGCCAAAGTGTGTATGGTTCAGCAGTGAAATACTGCCAGCTTCATTCAGTTGTAGCTAAATACAAGGAGTAAAAAGACTGCGTGGCTGCATAGAGGGAGAGCGAAGAAAAGAGTGTTTTGAAACAGTGTGAAATAGTCGGGAACAGTGCCAGAAAACAAGCGCACTCATTTGAAATATGTGCACAGAGACATTGGGGATATAGGAGGATCATAGAATAGGATCAAAGAATGGTTTGAGTTTGAAGCGCCCTTTAAGATCACCTAGTTCCAACCCCTGCTATAGGCAGGGACACCTCCCACTAGACTACGTTGCTCACAGGCCCATCTGGCCTTGAATACTTCCAGGGAGGAGGCATCCACAACTTCTCTGGGCAACCTGTTCCAGTTCTCACCACCCTGACAGTACAGAATTTCTTCCTAATATCTAGCCTAAATCTTCCTATTTAACCTACCCTCTTCCTATTTAATGCAATTTCCTCTTGTCCTATCATTGCATGCCCTTATAAAGTCCCCCCCCACCTCAGGGTCTCACAAGAGCAGAGTAGAGGGGCATAATCACCTCCCTTGACCTGCTGGTTACACTTCTCTTGATGCAACTTAGGATACAGTTGGCCTTCTGGGCTGCAAGCACATCTTGCCAGATGATCTTGAGTCTTTCATCAGCTGACACCCAAAAATCCTTCTCAGGGCTGCTCTCAAGTCATTCTCTGCATAGAATGTATTTGTGCTTAGGATTGCCCCAACCCAGGAGCAGGACTTTGCACTTGGACTTGTTGAACTCCATGAGGTTGGCGTGGGCCCTCCTCTCAAGCCTGTCCAGGTCCTTGTGTATAGCATCCCTTCCCTCTAGCATGTCAACTGCACCACTCAGCTTGGTGTCATCAAGACGGAAGGATGAGAATATGGTAGTGGCAGCTGAAGGGCCTTCAGTGACCAAAAAGATATACTGGGGAGAAAAGTAGTAGTGTGGAGAAGGGAAGCCCATTAATAAAAAGATGAGCAGGGGCGAAATTAATTAGAGCTCTGCAGAGACACTGTGGCCCTTATGGGAAGGGCTCGGTTCTGATACTCTTGTTTAGCACTGTCTAGATTGCTTTAGTGGGGACTTCTTGGAGGACATCGTACAATTAGAAGGCAAAGGTTATAAGGGACTGTATGGTTGTAAAGGATTCACATTTAAATAGGAAAAATAGAAAAACAGCTATGAGGAAAAGCTTCATGCATCAGCTATCCTCAGTGTTTTCAATACGAAATGCATGCATATGAAGTTACTAGAACATATGAGTATTTACAGCCAGGACTGTTTTTTTTTCATTATCTTTTTTTCCCAGTCTGTTAACTGAAGTTATATTTACAGGATTTTCTGTCTGTCTGGAAACTTGGCATTTTACACTTCCAGAAGATGCACTTATATGTAAACAAACAGCTACCACAGGATGTACATTGAAAAGCAAAGAGCCAGTAGTTGCTGGTCCCACAGGACACTGCATGGTCCTGGTCCCAGAGCAGCCAGATCAGGAAGTAGATCACAGCCACCATGACCACTCGAGCTTGGATTTCCTTCCTGTGGTACAGCAGGGAGGGAGGAGGCTACACCATTTGTTTCAGGATCTCAATCTGACATGCAGTTGCACAGCAGCCAGGATGTAGCCTGAGAGGTAGAAAGCTCCAAGCTCACAAATTGTGAGATGCTTATTTGTGGCTGTAATCAGCAGATAAACACAGGCACAAGCCACATATCGTCTCTAAAGAATAATTAGTGAAGGCACAATCAGTGCGTAGATACTTCCTTCTTGTACCTGGCTATGGTGGCTTTCTTTAGATTTATTTATTCAAAAATCAGACTCCAGGGAAGTAGAGAATTAAATCATTTAGATTAACCCCCTCCCTCAGCACTGTGAATTCCAAGGAGCAAGTGCTGACACACTGCTGGGCCCTTACAAGTTCAGTCCCAAAGGAGGACGTGCTAGAAGGCCTCATTTAGCAGCAGGTTTTTAAATTCAGCTGTTAGACTGAGAGCAGGGAACAAAATAAATGGTCTCAGACAAAGTTTCATTTTTTTAATTGGCAAAGTATTTTCACCTTCCTGCTTTTCTCCTTAATCCTCTGCCTCTGTCCCTGACTAAATCTTAACCTCGTTTTCAGTAGGTCCTCAGAAACTATTTTTTTATGAACTGACACTTACCTTGAACTTTCTGCATTTTTGCCTTTTTCTGCCAAAATGAATGTCACGTTTATACCTTTGTAATTGCATAATTCAGACTATGAAAATATACCCCTTTTCAACTGTTTCCCTTAGCATTTAATTCTTCAAAATACTAATTTGTTTTTTCTTTCTTATGTACAGCAAAATTTGGAGAGTAACCTCACCAACCTTATTAAGAGGAATACTGAACTGGAAACTCTTCTGGCAAAACTCATTCAGACCTGTCAACATGTAGAAGTGAGTACTGACCTGCATTTGAAAAACTTGTAAACTGAATTACATTCACTTTGAGCTTTCAGAAAAGTTTTAAACAAAATCATAACAAGTGCAAAACTAAATTAAGGTCATGGTAAACAGAACTTTTTCACTGTTAAATGGTATTCCCATTATAGCTAATCCTCTTTACATTCATTCTTGTTCCCTTTAAATTACGATTTTATGTTTGCTTGACCGTCAACACGGCTAAACTTGGGTACAGCACTCAATATCTGTAGAATGCTTATCTGCTTGGGTCCTTTGCAAGGCAGAATAATATGTACTGACGGAAAACTAAGGCAAAGAAATAGTAAGGCCCAGACCCACAGTGCATTCTGTCTGCCACTGATTACTTTTAAAATCAGAATTAAGTATCTAAATACAGATGTGGCCTTCAAAAGTCATGTAAGAAATATATTTTTCTTCCAAAGAATAAAAATGCCTACAAGTCTTTGAGTTGCCTGAGGATAGCACAGTAAGGAAGGACCTGGATTCAAATTACCTCCAAATCTAGAGGATACTTGAGATGGCCCTGTGGGGACTGCTGCTCTATATGCAAATTAAAATTATCACAGACTAATTTAACAATGCGAGCTTGCATAGGAAGAAAAGAGAGCCCAAAACAGACTCTGTTTTAGCAGTTCTCTCTTTACATTTTCCAACTCTGTGAGAACTTCTCAGCTTCTTAAAGTATATTCCGGTCAGTGAGCCACCATGAACAAATAGCTTCCATGTTATAAAAAGTTGAGAAGACAGCATGAAATACTGTCATTATGCTTTCTGTCATTAAAATTATACAAATATCCCCATAGCATCAAAGTGGTCACCAATGCTTTCCTTGTTGTCAGTCTCAGCTATGAGTCCCAAGCGGTACACACTACCTATAAAATATATTTTCCCCTCCCCTCCACCAAGATTGTGGATGAAGAATATTAGGAGACCAGGAAAGGCTCAACCTCATGAGGTCCACTTATATCTTGACAGATATGAAATTCATTGAGATACGCTGTGCTAATGATTTGCTGTGCTGTCAGTTTCCATAAGTGCTAAACTCGATTTTAAATGACATGGAGCAGAAATCAGAGAACACAAAATGGAGAATCACAACATAAATAGTGGTGGTTTACACCTCAATCACAGAGCAAAGGTATTTTCAATTGAGCAGCTAATTGCTAGCCAAATTAGCATAGCAAACCTATTTTTTCAGTGAAGAATCTTGGGGTTTTGTTTGCATTACAATACTGTCTGTTGACAGGCTTCAACACAGGAACATTTCATTCCTGCCTGCATTATGATTACTGCAGCAACCTTATTTATTCAGAGAAGAGTATGCAGCATATGCCTAGCTGCATATAATAATAATAGTAGTGTTGAGTATGGCTGTCTATACATGCAAAAGGAAGCCAGGTTCTTTGTCAGCATTACCTGGAGAATAGTCCTCAGGAATTTGGGTGAGGAAGGTAGTCTCAACCCAGAGCTTTGAGACAGAAGTATGATGGGCAGAAAGTTAATTCTGACATACATTGCATTAACACAGCCACCTTCCAGATCTCTGTAGGACTTCTTTTTCAGGTCAAAATTCAGTTACCTAACTAGGCCCAAGATTCAAAGTCATGTCTTAAAAGATGCATACTTACAGCCAGTGGCAATGGCAGATGTTGGAGCAATAAAAACAAACAACAACAATAAACAAACTAAAAAAACACAAGACTGATATTCCAAAGAGATCACTGCATCCATTTTTCTACCAGATGGTTGGCCTGTCACCCCTGTAGAGCCACTCTGTAGAGTGGGGCTCTACAAAACCATGAAAGTTATCACAAGATTAGACTTGAGGTAGTGGATTTGAGCTCTTTATAATACACAGCAATAACATCATACAGAATAAGTGTGGCGTCGGATGGGATGACTGTTGCAGATAATGAGACAGAGATGAGACACATTTTCTTCCAATATAAGTATAAAACTCAGAGCAAAAAGTATGAAGCAGATGAGCCCAGGACAGCATAAAGCCTCCTCTACATTAATGGCATATATCCAAGATGTGCTAGATACAGAAAATTTAAATTGTTCCTCCTCCTCTGCACTGTATTTCCAGCTGTAAGATTTGCTATTACAAAAAAATCCAACTTGTTCAACTTGTAACAGATGTGCTACTGCCCCTTGAGTCCTGTTTTAGAAAATTTCTCTGTAGATGTAAAGAAATAGCAGCAAAGATGTTAACAAATTCCTACCACGTCTTATTCTTCAAATTAGTCTAATTAGCATTTAAATTAGCTGAATATTAAGAAATGAGCTTCAGTCAAAACCCTGGACCTAAGCATCACTGGAAATCAGGCAAGTGGGGATGTGGAAGTAAACTCTGAGGCTATCTGTTTTTTCCAGAACTATGTGAAAACTTCAGATATGATGCGTATATCTCAAACACTCGAGATGCTGAGGCTTACCTAGAATTTAAAATTCAGTGCGCACTTCTTCTTTGTGCTTCTTCTATACCAAAAATCACCAAACAAAATAGAGAATGAAACAAACAATATGCTGTGGTAACGTTAATATTAAAAATATAAAATCAGAAAATATTTAGAAAAGCCTAAGTTTCCAATGATTATATTAGTATTACCATATGAACTCATTAACTGGTTGAAACTGAGCAGGCAGTTAGTTTTATAGGGGAGGTCTCACAGTTTTCTTCTTTTTTGATACAATATATTACAGATAATGATGTAAAATATAGTTAATGCCATTTTCAGGCATTTAAAAATATAGGTAGTGCACTGTAAAATCTGCTAGATTAACATTACCTAATTTAAAATTATTTTAGTGCTGGTTTATATTTTCAGAGATTAAAACCCAGCAAGAGAAGCCTGGGGAGTTTTATGCCAAATAATGTGAACTTTGAAAGACAAAGAAGAGAAGGAGGTTAAAGTTACTCAATTTTTATTAAGGGGTACATCAAAAACAATTGTTCTAATTAACATGTGTTTGTTGAAACTAGAAACAAACACTAACTTTTTAAAAAAGCGTATATCGTCTCAGGAAACAAACAAAAAAGCCCCAACGCTGTCACGAGAAAGGAAAAATGAATGTCATTTTTGGCTTTTGATATGGACCAGGAGCTGATGTTTCTTAAAATGAACAACAAACAAAGCATGTGTCTTTTGCAGAAATGCATCCTCAGCAGCCAAACCAAATGTTGTTACAGTGCCACTGTTTCTCATCAGAGTGTGCTGTTAAAGGCTTCCCAGCAACAGACTTATGGCAGATTCATTATTTACCATACATCCTTCTCATCAGACGATTGCAACTTCATCTATAGCAAAAACTAAATCCTGTCACTCCCTGTCCTAAAACTAAAGCTTGTTCCCTTCAGAAAGAGAGCCATTTTCTCTTCCCTCTCAAACTAGCAGGCAGGAACTGGTCAACAATGTGCACTCTCTGGAAACTGGATGATTTCCAGCAGCAAGGGAGGGGGCTCGGGAGCTGCCTTTCGTCACAGCAATGGGGACGTAAATCTTAACTATTTTTAGATGGACTTCATCAATTTGTGACAAGATTTATCCTGATGTGGGATCTAATCTTGAGAGACTGGAGGAGTCCACTTCCAGGCTTGGGTTCCTGTGAGTGGTTTTGGGCCTATCAGCAGGAAAAGTTGAGTGAATAAATCAAGCCAGACTTGTCTTTACTGCTTTAAGCGAAGCTGAGATATTATTAAGTGTTTTATAAAATCTGGATGACTGAGTTTGTGCCCAATATGAAAGTATGGTCTGTGCTAACGCTTAGTTTATGGTAACACTTAATTAAAAAAATCCCATTTTCTCAGTGGGAGCCACACCCTGAGAACTGCACACTTCAGACACTTAAAATCTTTTTTATCCCCAGTCTTTCTTTTTATTTAGAAGCACACAGGCACATTGATTTTACTCACCTTCTAGACTCATTCCTGACATGTTTTCTTTTACCCTTGCTTTTGCACTCTCCGTTCCTCTGAAATTCCATTTGTCCTTTCTTGATTTTTCCTGATTTTTCCCAAGCTATTCATCAGGAAAGTTTTGTTTCCTTCCTTGGAGATAATGGCAGGTCTACATCCTCACACTTGGCCAGGCTGCTTTCTGCATCTTTCCACAGCGTGTGAGGGAGTGCAGAGCCCCAGAGTCCCAGTACTCCTCCTCTGTGAGGATCACCAGGCTTGGTTGTAACAAATGATAGGTTGATTCATATGATAAAATGCAGTTTTCTATGCAAACTGAGAAGATTGAATAGAAATGGCTTCTAAACTTCAATATAACTATTTCATAGAATCATAGAATGATAGAATCATTTGAGTTGGAAGGGATTTGGAAGGGCCAACTTGCAATGAACAGAGACATCTATAGCTAGATCAGAGTGCTCAGAGCCTATTTGTAGTTCTAGTTTCCAGTTTTTATGCGTCTTGTAATATTTGTAGAAAACCTGTAAATAAAGCATTAAAACCAGACCTGGTAGATTATTACCTATAAATTCTATGTGCATTCACCCAGTGAGGGAGCTCTCTAGCACGTGGTTCAATCAGCATGTGTCTCTAAAGAGTCCATAAAAGCGTGTGTGTCAGGAAAGCAGCTTTGTTTTGCAGTTATGGGGAAGATAGCTGGGGAAAAGAAGTTAAATGGCATACATTAACAGCCCACGTATAAGCCCTCTGCAGCAGCTGGGTCCCACTGCTGCAGAATTTTGCTGGTAACTGAAATTTCTTGTAAGAACCTTGGACAAATCTTCTAAAACCACCACTGTAAAATTGGAACTGCGAGTTTGCAAGGCACTTTGCTGTTAGGAAAACATGAGTTTGCTGCAGGTGTTTTAGATCATGACAATAATTGACATTAGGCACAAATTTGAGTGTGAGACTCTTCTGCCAGTTATTTTTTTTCTTAACACTTTCAGTATTGTTTCTGGACATTTTTCTCATCTCTTCTAGGAAGTATATGATCAAGCATCTATTATTTAGT